GCTGAACTATGCTAGAAAGCTATAATTCTCATTCACTAGTTGATTGAGCACACCCAGGCTGAGTATTATAGGTATTGTAATTGGAGCTGGATAGTTCCACAATGGCCATTGCTAATGTAATAAGGCTAAATAAATGTGTCCTTAAAGGAAGACTCTAAGCACCACAAGCACTACAGTGCACTGAAGTGGTTATGGTGCCAATAGTACTCTGGTAACCCACATTGTAAGTAGTCAGATCATGTTAGAACAGTGCCGTATAATAATTAGAGCTGCAACACCAACTGAGACATGAAAGGATTGTAACAGAGCTTCAGTACTCTGATCAAGTACCTCCGCCAAATTTGCTTCCTCATAGCTATCAGGGACTCTGGAGCACATCAGACCCAGTCGTAGAGGCTTGACTGGGATCACTGAGGGCCTTTTCCACCCTGGACCAAACATCAGAGGACATTTGCTGAAGGTTAAAACAACAACTACCTTTAATAGACATAGCACGCAAATTTTAAGCCTCCAACAACCTCATTTACAAACAATAGGGTGCATAGAGTACTATAGTACATGGAAGGGTGGGGTCAAAGAATAGCAAGGGTTGATGGGAGATTGAGGATGGACAGGGCAGCTAGTTTGAACTGGTCTGACAGTGTCCCTGGGACAACGCCCTGCTGGTGAAACAATAGACAGGAAAGCACAGACAAGCAATACATTCATCATACACCGCATCAATATTGGGCACAGGGTGACCAAATCACAAAAGGAATCTGGGGATCCACACATAGTGCCTATCTTCCAACCTCAGTGATGGTGAATACCGTCAGAAGGGTATTTAATCCACCATTCTGCAATGTTTCGAGCCATCAGGGTCCTTTTCAAGCCTTAGACATACAGCTTAAATACCTGATTTATTATATATAATTACATGGATCACCATGGGTGGAGTTAAGTTAAGAAAAAAAGGAAAAGGTATTAACTCCATAAATTTGTCTTACAATATCACTGTTTGGTTTATTTTGTGAGCAATAACACACATATATATAACACAAAAACTGTAGCTTTCATGTGACAAGAAGCAATGTGGCATGAATATTCTAGACATTGACCAGAAGAGGGTTAATTATGAAGTTTATTTCATTTTTAAATTGATGTATTGTTGTTTTTCCTCCTTTTTATATTATTTTTTTTATAGTGTTTTTACTATAGTACAGATGAAGTAATGCCTTTTTCTTTTTTTCCCTGACTTAAAATGATCCAAGGGTGGTCCATGCAATTATACGTCATTAAGAATGTATTTACTTTATGTGTTCCATTGGTTCTCAGGTTTGGCAAAGACCCTCATGTGTCAAAACGTTGCCCACTCCACTCAGGTGGAAAAAAAATCTAATTTTATGTGGCCTTGGTGTTGCAACTCTAATTATTGTACTTCATTGTTTTAAAGGCGAAAAGAAGATAACCTGTGGAGTCTGCACCCAATCATACACTTGGAATGCCAGTTCTCCATAATCAGTTTAGAACATAGAGATTATTTACTTTAGGTCAACTTGGGTCCACTCCAAGCCTCTACTACAGCCTTTCAGATAGCAGAGCACTTGCTTAGGAGCTGCCATAAGCTCATTAGTTGAGAGCTGTAGTGGTATTTGTGCTTGGAGTTTTCCTTGAAAAACATTTAGTCAAAGTGACTTCAAAAACTGTATTCCATGGCCGTAAAAACGTATTTTATAATATGTACTTAACTTATTCCGCATCTAAGTGGCTAGCATAATGTAGATAAAGGTGTACACAGTTCAGTAGGACATATTTCTTAATTTAGTGGGACTAAAGGGGTTCACAACGATTAAGCATGGCTGAATCCTACTAAGCCATGCAAATATTTTGGACAAACTTGAGTTACTACTTCAGCAGTAGAGTTGATTAACTTTGCGTGCTGTGAAGATCCTATTTTTTCTTGAAACCACTTGGAAACTTCTAGACAAAATCCAAAGAAACTGTAACTGTACATAGCCTTGTTGCAATACAAATATCTGCAGTGATTATGGTGTTTGGAGCATCACTTTAAGAATAAAATACTGTGTGGTATACAGTAGCATAAAGAAAAATGTGTTTCATTTCCTGCTTTTGTATTAAACATATTCTTCTGACCTTGAGCTCAACTTTTTATTTTACAACGTAACGTTTGTCTGTTCCAGAATCTGAATTACCTATTGCTTTATGGCAGAAAATAGTATGTTCTTTGCCTATATTACTATATTTATTAGAGTGATAGCACCCATTTACCAAGAGTCTGAGTGATAAGGACTTGTAATTTGTATCTTGGAGACCGGGATGAGATTAGAGCTTTGCAAACAAATAAAGCATGAGATTTAGGGCTATAAAACACAATAAAATCTCCTGTATAACATGACAATTAGCAATATTTTAACTGAAAAGGATATAGAACAATGGCAAGCATTTTATAGAGTACTTCCAATGAAACTGGAGGCAGTATGTTGTCTCTTTCACCCTTTAAAGGACCAGTATAAGCACCCAGACCACTTCAGCTTAATGAGGTGGTCTGGGTGCCTGGTCCATCTAGGGTTATCCCTTTTTTCTATAAACATAGCAGTTTCAGAGAAACTGCTATGTTTATGTTAGTGTTAATCCAGCCTCTAGTCGCTGTCTCATTGACAGCCGCTAGAGGGCTTCCGCGTTTCTCACTGTGAAAATCACGGTGAGAAGACGCCAGGGTCCATAGGAAAGCATTGTGAATGCTTTCCTATGGACTGGCTGAATGTGCGTGCAGCTTCTGCCGCGCATGCGCAGTCAGCCGAAGAGGAGTAGAGGAGGCGGAGAGGAGGAGGAGAGCTCCCAGTCCAGCGCTGGAGAAAGAGGTAAGTTTAACCCCTTCCTCTCCATCCAGCCCGGCGGGAGGGGGGCCCTGAGGGTGGGGGCACCCTCAGGGCACTATAGTGCCAGGAAAACGAGTATGTTTTCCTGGCACTATAGTGGTCCTTTAAGGATGCATGGTGGAAATTGCTGTTGTATTGAACTTTTACTTCTGAAGCTGTGATCTTAAGGGGTTAATATAAAAAAATAAATTTAAATACTGTTTTCTTTAACATTACAGAACATTATCATAGTCATAGTACTACATATTGTTGGCTAAATTATTCTCATATGAATTCTCCTTTAAAAAGTCCATTTGAACTATTTTAATAGAAAATCACGATCGGATGTTTGACGTTTAGCCTGCAAAACAAACAACAAAGTATTTGCTGGACCACTATGGGAATACATATTTAGATCTCGTTGCAAACCTCTATAGATTGAGAGCTGGAGCTCTATAGATATATAGCTCCACCCTTTTGCTGCCACCTCTGAGAGGAAGCGGTAAGATATTTAGCAGGAAACATACAGCTGGGCATTCTTGGTACCTTTCCCGATTTAAATGAATGAGAAATGCAGTAATTTGTTTTCTCATTTGCTTATGAAGCATCATATATATGAACATATATTGAAGAAGTGCTTTCTTTCACATTTTTTTTTCATGCACATGTGTAAGCGTTTGTCAAAGGAAATTAAAAAATATTTACAAGGACATTTAATAGAGTGTGTCAAAGTGTATTCAAAATTATTTCAAGATTTAGGAAATTAGGGAAATATTACCAAGTCAACTACATATTCAGTTAGGCAATTTTTTAACCTAAATTCTGATATTAGTGAATAACCTTGTAGATGTATATTGTGCATGTGACTTCCTACATATAAGAATGTTCATTAATTCTTCCATCAACTGTATTTGAGGGCCAGGAATGACTGAGACATTTAAGTCATATCCTTATTGAATAGACCGTCGCTGAGGAAGGATTATAGGAAATTAGTAATAAAAGGAAAAAAAAAAGACAACAGGTGTTAAGTCAAGCCAAGAAGGTCGGTCTCTTTATCCCATGTGGGATTTTGGTATTTAAAATCCATTTCTTTCAATTTTTGTGCATGGTGAGAAAATGTAGCTGAAAACAGAATTTCGGTAAGGAAAATTCTTAGCAGAATTTAAGTAAGCAAAATCCAGTTCATTAATCAAATCACATGAAAATGAGCCAATCAATGTACTGCAAAATATATTCTCAATATAATATTATATAAAATCACAAGTTAGTACCAGCTGGTGTCCAGTTACATATATCCATACATATCATGAACTCAATACAAAAAAAACCCCAAAATGTAAAAATATAGTCCCAAGAATAGAATGCAAGAGTTTATGTAAGGTCTTTCATATATATATTTCCTGCTATATATATATAAATGAAAAAGAGGCCAGTTGAGGCCTTGCACACATGCATCAAGGATACTCAAACCCTGTTGCACAGAATTAAAAGTCTAGAGCTCCATGACACAATACCAATTTTTATCACAATGGATGTCGGAAGTTTGTATACAGTTATCCCGCATACGGAAGGCATTGAGGCGATGCGCCAAGTGCTCTGTGGATCCTCGCTATATCAGGGTCCTCCAGTGGAGTTCGCATTGGAACTTTTAGCCCTCATTTTCCACAACTACTACTTCAGATTTGAGGACAGGTCAGGTGGGCACGTCAATGGGGTCAGTCATGGCCCCAATGTATGCTAATGCATACATATATATATATATATGAGACCCAACATATATTCTCTTCATATCAACACAATATCATCCATACTACCATTACATCGACGACCTCCTAATCATATGGTGAGGCTCACAGACTGAGGCACGTTGTATGTTACATAATTTGAATCTACTCCCTACACCTATTAGGTTCACGGCCAATATTAGTGGAGAAGCTGTCCAGTTCTTGGACTTGGAGTTATCCTTTGCATCAGGGGATATCCAGTACACGTTATTTTCGAAGCCGACAGATCGTAACACCTTACTGCATGCACGTAGTGCACATCCTAATGCATTGAAAAAAATAAATCCTTAAGGCTCAGTTCCAGAGGGTCATCCGTAACAATTCTGATGCAGCTAAAGCGGAGTTACAATTGGAAGTTATGATGCAGAAATTTGCAGAGAGGGGCTATGATGCTCGAATTTTGGAAGATGCACGGTTGAAGGCTATGGTAGCACCGGTGCAGCCAAAGATTGATCCCGCACAAAGGATGATTTTCCCCATGACTTTCCATTGTGCCTCCAACTTGGTAACATTGGTGATCAAGGAAAACTGGAAGATGGTTGCCACGGATGACACTTTGCCGAAAGTTTTTAAAGAACTGCCAGTAATGTGTTTCAGGAGAAACAGAAGCTTGAGGACATTTTGGTGCACACGGACCCTGTTGAGAGTTATTCGAAGCATGTCAAGCACAACATTAGGGGCTGCAAACGTTGTCTGGGTTGTGTGACGTGTGGTCATATGATACCAGCGAAGAAATTTAACCACCCACACACTAACAAAACCTATAACCTAAGGTTTACCATCACATGCAAAACCCCATTTGTTGTGTATAAATTGATGTGCCCGTGTGGTCTCTGCTATGTAGGGAAAACTGAGACGCCTCTTTGTGAGTGGATAAGGGGACACTGTTCTAGTATTAGGCTAGCGAATAGGGATGGCTGTTCAGACAAGCCAGTAGCCCAGCACTTCTTTGACAAGAAACACCCGTTGGCTGCCCTTAAATTTGTAGGCATAGACCACATTCCCCCCCCCCCCTGTAGAGGTGGTAATAGGGGTAAAATGTCCAAAAAGAGGCCTTTTGGACACACCAGTTAAATACGGTGTGCCCTATGGGGCTTTATGAAAACATAACGTATCATGCTTTCCTCTAGTATCGCCTGTTTGTTACTATTAAATTTTAAGAAAATATGTCTTAAGAAATTAGACATAATGTTTGACATGTGTTACTTGTATATGGATATTAGATGATAGATTATGGATATGTATTTATCTTTCTTCATAGATTTTAAGTTTCAGTGGATATTATTTTTTTTGTTTTTTTTGCACAGCACTTTATTATATTGCATGACAGCACTTTACAGTCACTGAATCCACATCTAAAAGGGTGTTTTTACATCCCTTTGTGAATGAATCTTCACTATACTAACTTAAAAGATTTTTCTATTTGTATATCACTTACAATTGTCACTTTAAACATGGAATTTGTATTATGTTTCTAGTATACACATTTGCACTTTACTTAATACATGATGTTTCATCTGTCCTACCAATGTACTTGGTTTAGCATAATATTATTACCACTAAGTATCCCCCTTGTCTTTTTAAGTCTGATTCACATCGGAGGGGGCTTCGTTTACATGGTCACCATGGTGATTGGGAGCAATACACATCCACCACGCCAAGACATACCGTCGCCGGCACGGTGGCCGGGGCACGCAATTGTGTGTGCGAGCACATCCGGAAGCCCGATGGATGGCGGGTGAGAGACACCTGGGTGAGTGTCTTTACTAATTATATGACTATATAATGTTTGCCTGTATGTATAATATTTGTTGTCCTGTTATTCAGACCCTGAAGAAAGTCCCGAATGGGGACTGAAATGGTCGATTTTTAACATAATTCAATAAAAAAATTGTTTTTAAGTCCGATGAGCAGCTATTCCTTTTTGCTATTTATATATATATTATTTTTTTTTTGAAAACTTTTTACATTTTTTTTTGTTTTCATTTTCTTTTTTTGTATTTTTTTTTTATAGAGCGGTTGAAATGTACCGATATATGTAACAGGACACCAGATGGTACTAATTTGTTACCTTACCAATTAGCCTAGGGATTCACTAGTCCTCTTCATAAATTGAAGCTACATGTATGGATGAGTATACAACTAAGAAGAAGTCGAATCCTTGTTTCACAGGCAACAACAGATCTAAGTCTGATCATATAGATTTATTTCAGAGTGTGATTTTGATTTATTTTGTCTGCACACTGTGACAAATCTATTTTGTTTTGTGTTGTGATGCTTTAGTTTGTCTTTACTTTTTGAGAATATATCCTATTTTGGTGGTGGTTTTAGGCATTGTACCTTAGCTCTTTCTTGCACTTTGTCTTGATATGTAAAGGGCGGTAAAACTCTTGTACTCTACGTCTACCTTTAGTTCTTTTGAGATATAGGAGACGATTGTCACTTTTGTGTAGGCAACAGATAACATTTAGCATTTGCACTTTGCTCTTTGCTAATATACTTATCTACTATCTAGTGGTCAAGTCAATAGACATAGTGTACATTATTATTAGGTATTATATTCTCTCAGACATATAATTTTTTGTACAATTTAGTGTACATTCTTTTGTTCAAATTTATACATATGTAACTTTATACCTGACCGATGGTGACAATGAAACACAAAAAAAAGCAAGCTTACATCTTTCGAAACTTCTTTTTTGAGTGCGGTATTGCTTTTATATTTTGCAATATGGAACATTGCATTGGACAAAACTTAACTTTAAACCTTAATTTTAAAATTCGAACACTTCATATTCTTTCTTTACTATAAGGCTGCCATACTCCTGAGAATGGATCAGAATTGAGACTAGATATTCATGCATTAAGGTAATGTGAGTTTAAAACCAAACACTATAATACATTTCAAGAAACAAGATACAAACACATTTTTATGATAAACTCCCTTTAACCTGTGATGCTTGATGACTTATTAATCTATTGATTCTGTTTTGCATTAATTGAGAGAGTTGGAGATATTATTAAGCATCTGTCTACATTTGTATAGTTAATGATAGTCTATCATTGGCCCCTGAACAATGAGATTTATTGGACAGAAAATCTAATAATTTTTTTAAATTGCTTTCTGTGTGGTGATTTAAACTTCCTCTGAGTGAAACCTCACATAAAACATTAATGCAGCAAGTACAATAGACTCCTAAAAACAACAACAATGGTGTAATTTATTTCCAAAGTGTGATTGTTGAAATTTTATTTTCTAAAATCAATATATATATATATATATATATATATATATATAAATGCTTGGCCCTCTACAAGGTCAGCAAGACAATAAGAGCCTTCATCAAGAACTCGAGAAGCCAATTGCAGGACAATAACTCAAGTGAACATCAAATGTGGCATATACCAAGGTGATGTGCTATCCCCAATGCTGTTCTGTATAGGCCTAAACCCCCTTTGCTAGATCATCAAGAAAAGTGGATACGGATACAGGTTCAGTAGTGGAGCTACCATCAGCCACCTACTCTACATGGACGACATCAAGCTGTATGCCAAGAATGAGCATTGACTCACTGATCCACCTAACTAGGATATACAGCAAGGACATCAGGATGTCGTTCGGACTAGAGAAGTGCAGGCAGATGATAGAAAAAAGAGGGAAGATGATCCGGACAGAAGGAGTTGAAGTTCCAGAAGGCAAAATAGAAGATGTAGAGAACAGTTACAAGTACCTAGGGATACCACAACAACATGACAACCATAAGGAAGAGGCAAGGAGGATAGCAACATCCAAGTAGCTCCAAAGAGTCATACAGGTCCTGAAGTCCTAGCTAAGTGGCAGAAACAAGATCCAAGCCATTAACACATATGCCCTACCGGTCATCAATTACCCAGCTAGAATAATAACTTGGCCAAGAGAAGAGCTGGCCACCATGGATGTCAAGACCAGGAAACTACTCACGATGAATGGAGGATTCTACCCGAAATCCAGCACCCAGACACTGTACACCTGCCTCAAGGAAGGAGGTCGGGGCCTGATGAGTGTCAAGGCCATAGTCCTGGATGAAACACAGAGCATCCACAAGTACATCACGAAGATGGATCCCAAAGATGAACTGCTAAGGGAATGCCTAAGATTTTCACAGATCGAGGATGCAGAAAAAGATGAGGTTCCTTGGCAAGACAAACCTCTTGCAGAGGAACCACCGGCAGATAGTGAATAGTGGATGTGGCTCACATGACAAAATCCTACCAGTGGTTGGAAAAGGCAGGACTGAAAGACAGCACTGTGGTACTAATCCTAGAAGCACAGAAGCAGGCACTCTGCACCAGATCAATAGAAGCTGGAGTCTACCACACCAGGCAATACCCAAAGTGCAGACTGCTCAAAGAGGCTTCTGAGACAGTCCAGCACCTAGTAGATGGATGCAAGATGTTAGCAGGAAAAGCATACACGGAGAGACACAACCAAGTTGCTGGGATTGTGTACTGAAACATCTTCACAGAATATGGATTGGACCTGCCTAAGTCAAGATGGGAGATACCACAAAGGGTAGTTGAGAATGCCAGGACTAAGATCCTGTGAGACTTCAAGATCCAGACGGGCAAGCAAGTGCTGGCCAACCAACCAGACATCGTGGTGGTAGACAAGGAACGAAAGACTGCTGTCGTGGTGGATGGGGCAATACCCACTGACTATAACATCAGGAAGAAGAAACATGAGAAGGTGAACAAATACCAAGGACTGAAAGAAGAACTAGAAAAGATGTGGGAAGTGAAGTCAGTAGTAGTCTCAGTTGTGATAGGAGCACTCGGGGCTGTGACTCCCAAGTTGAGGGAGTGGCTACAACAGCTTCCAGGTGGGACATCTGAGATCGCTGTCCAGAAGAGTGCAGTTCTAGGAACAGCTAAGATACTGCGCAAAACCCTCAAACTCCCAGGCCTCTGATAGAGGACCCGAGAATGAGGAATAAACATACCACCCAGAAGGGGTGAGAAAATCTATTTTTTTTTTACTAACATATACTATCAAACCACCTGAAATGCATTTTTTTGAAATAATCATGGTCACAGAGAAAGAGTTAAATATAGAATCCAGTTTATGAACCCAAATCAAATGGACCAAAAGGGCGTGAAAATGGGCCAATTAGTGTACTGTAAAACATATACGTAACTTGATATGTTTTGCATGTTTTGTTTGGTTTGTGATTCGAGTACATTGGCGCTATATAAATACCAATAATAATAATAATATTAATCTCAGATTTCAAGAATTTGACTAATCATCTGATTGGCCCAAATTAAGACAAATTTCAGTTCTTACCGAAATTAATCTCCCAGTGTAATATTTATGTCTAACTCAAAGTAAACCTGTAATGTCAGCTTTACTTTAACAGTTAACTGCTGCCAAAGCATGAACCATATAATTTATCATGGTGCTCTCGGATCAGTTAAATCTTTACATGCTAACTCCAGCACCATCCTTCTTAGAGGTCTATGGGTATTACAGTACTGTATCATCCACCCTCTGTTTATACCCTCTGCTAGCTGTGATTGACCATACTTGGGAACACTTCTCCAATC